TTTGCGTGCCACTACAGGACCTTGGTTGCAACAATGATCTATACGGTCCCAGTTTATGTCAATAACGTCACACCCCTCCCCCCCACCCAAGCCCAGTGCGTCTGTGCCCTGGGGCATCCCCTCCCCGCCCCACCCAGTACGTCTGTGCCCTGGGGCATCCCCCCCCCACCCAGTACGTCTGTACCCTGGGGCATCCCCCCCTCACCCGGTACGTCTGTGCCCTAGGGCATCCCCTCCCCCCACCCCGTGCGTCTGTGCCCTGAGGCATCCCCCCGCCACCCGGTGCGTCTGTGCCCTGGGGGCTCCCTTCCCGCCCCCAGCCTGGTGTATCTGTGTCCCTACCCCTCTCCCTCCAGCCAGCGATTCCCCAGGCGCCAAGCAGGGAGGGGCTGCGCCTGGGTCCCGCGGCAAGGCCTGGAGGGGAACCCAGGAGTCCTGGCTCTGTGGCAGGGATTCCCAGACAGGCCATGTGGAACCTTGCTTGGGCTGCCCCCTCCCGGCCAGCGGGGGTGGGGTACTGAACTGGCGAGGGGCGTGCCCGCCTGTGTGCCTGCAAGGCCAATGGGTGTGTTTGGGGGGCAGAGGGCAGGGCTCTCAGTGTGGAAAGGATGGAGCAGCCCCCCCCGCAGCAGGCGTGCCCTCTGCAGACTGGCTACCGTGCCCTCTGCGCCGTGGGGGTGCCTGGCCGGGGTGGAGAGGGGCAGAGGGCTGCCAGGTGCCCTGCCCGAGGGCCTGGGTGCCCACTCCTCTCTGGTGTCTCTGCCGTGCAGCGGGGCCATGTGGAGTGCCACATCGCAGAGTGCGAACCCGTGGAGTGCCAGGGCGGCCTGCGGAAGGTGCAGATGCCCGGCTCCTGCTGCTACAAGTGCCAAGGTAGGAGCTGCTCTTGGTGGGCTAGCCAGGTGCAGGGCCCACATCCCAGGAGAGGAGGGGTGCCAGGCCAGTGACTCCACAATGCCAGGCTCCCTAGGGGTGGGGGGGGTGCCCAGTACGGTGCCAGCCCCTCGCTGGCAGATCCCGGAGGGCAGCACGGAAGAGGTTAGAGGGGCTGTGCACAGATGGCGCCTTCGGCTTCGTTGGTGCCAGTCTGAGCGGGGTTAACATCATAGCCTCTTAGGTGACCAGATGTCCTGATTTTACAGGGACAGTCCCAATTTTTGGGTCTTTTTCTTATATGGGCTCCTATTACCCCCCACCCCGTCCCGATTTTTCACACTTGCTGCCTGGTCACCCTACAGCCTCTGTGCTGCGGCTGACCAGTGTCAGCCCTACACCCCAGATGGGGAAACTGAGGCACAGAGCAGGGGAAGGGGTCAGTGCTGGGAGTAGGACCAGGAGTCCTGGCTCCCATGGTGTGCCCTGCTTGAATCACCAGCCACGCTGCCTTCTGCGTTCACACACCGGCCCCTCACTGGGCGGGCCAGACCTGGTGCCCCTGCCTGCGCCATGCCAGTGCTGCCACCTTGTCAGGACCCGGCGCTGCCCCCAGGCCGCTGTCTTCTGGACCTGGGGGGGCCCCACAACGCTGCCTCCATGCTCTGCCCCCAGACCCGGACGGCTCCTGCTCCTACCAGGGCCAGCAATACCAGGCCAGCGAGCACTGGCAGGTGGACACCTGCACCGCCTGCACCTGCGTCTCTGGGGAGGTGCACTGCCGGAGCCAGCGCTGCCCCCCGCCCGCCTGCGCCGCGGTGAGTGGGGCGCTCGGGCCGGGGCCCGGCTAGACCCTCCCCTCCCTCTCCCCGCTGGTCGAGCTCCTTGGCTGGCCTTCCCCTCCAGCCCATGGGGGGCGCGTCAGGGGCCCCAGTGAGGACTTGCCTTGGCCACTGGGGTGTGAGTGGTGTCCCATTGCCCACCCCATTACCCCGTGAGGGGTCCCATAGCCGTGCCGGGGGGTAGCAGCCAGGGTGGGAGGCGGTGGGAAGGGTGGAAGCCAGCGGCAGGCGTCACGGGGCCGGGAGGGGGATGGGAGAGTGGCAGCCAACCGTGGGCATTACAGGGACAGGAGGGGGCAGAGGCTGGCACCCGCATCCCCGTAACGGCCCCTGTGCGCCCAGGATGAGACGCCCGCGCTAACGCCAGGCATGTGCTGCCCTCACTGCCTGCCCCGCCCCGCCACCTGCCTGGCCTTCGGCGACCCGCACTACCGCACCTTCGACGGGCGGCTACTGCACTTCCAGGGCACCTGCACCTACGTCCTGGCCCAGGACTGCCAGGGGGGGGACTTCAGGTGAGAGGGGGCGTGGCTGACCTGGGCAACAGCCCCGGGCCAGGCGCCTGGGGGGAAGGGAAAGGCTGCCTAGTGGTGAGAGCTGGGGGCCAGGGCCAGGACTCCTGGGTTCTGTCCCAGCTCTGGGAGGGGAGTGGGGGCTAGTGGTTAGAGCAGGGGGCTGGGCGCCAGGACTCCTGGGTTCTGTCCCTGCTCTGGGAGGGGAGTGGGGGCTGGTGGTTAGAGCAGGAGGCTGGGGTCCAGGACTCCTGGGTTTTATTGGGGAGTAGGGGTTAGTGGGTTAGAGCAGGGGGCTGGGGACCAGGACTCCTGGGTTCTATCCCCAGACCTGGGAAGGGAGTGGTGCCTAGTGGTTAGAACAGGGGGCTGGGGGCCAGGACTCCTGGGTCCTATCCCCAGCTCTGGGAGGGGAGTGGAGGCTAGTGGTTAGAGCAGGGGGCTGGGGGCCAGGACTCCTGGGTTCTATCCCCAGACCTGGGAGGGAGTGGTGCCTAGTGGTTAGAGCAGGGGGCTGGGGGCCAGGACTCCTGGGTTCTATCCCCAGCCCTGGGAGGGGAGTGGGGTCTAGTGATTGGAGGTTTGGAGCCTGGACTCCTGGATTCTGTTCCCAGCTCTGACCCTAGCCGACTGAGGAAAGCCCCCCCTCTCACACCCTGGCCTACTGACCCTGGGCCCGTCTCCTGCCCGCAGCATCCACGTGACCAATGACGACAGGGGTCGCCCGGGCGTGGCCTGGACCAAGGAGGTGACAGTGCGAGTCGGGGACGTCGTGGTGCAGCTGCTGCAGGACTGGCTGGTCAGGGTGAGATGGGCAATGCTGCCGGGCCGGACACCCACTGCACCCCAAACCTCTGCCCGCCACTGCCTGGGGTGGAGCCGGGTCTGGAGCCCGTGCTGGGCGGGGCAGGGCCTAGTGTGGTTACAGGGAGGTCGCCGGGAGCCCGTGCTGGGCTGGGCGGGGCCCTGGTGCGGTTACGGGGAGGTCGCCTGGAGCCCGTGCTGGCGGGGCGGGGCCCTGGTGCGGTTACGGGGAGGTCGCCTGGAGCCCGTGCTGGGGGGTGGGGCCAGGGAGGTTGCCCAGAGCCCGTGCTGGGCGGGGCGGGGCCCTGGTGCAGTTACGGGGAGGTCGCCTGGAGCCCGTGCTGGGCGGGGCGGGGCCAGGGAGGTGCCCGGAGCCCGTGCTGGGCGGGGCGGGGCCCTGGTGCGGTTACGGGAGGTCACCTAGAGGCAGGAGGGAGCCAGGCTGCACAGGTGGGACCCCGGTGTCCTGTGGTGCCCGCTGAGGCCCTGCTCGCCCCTCCCAGGTGGACGGCCAGGTGGTGACCCTGCCCTTCCTCAAGGAGCCCCACCTCTACGTCGAGCGCCAAACCAACACCGTCCTGCTCAACACCAACATCGGGGTGAAGGTAACGGCTGGGCGTGGGGGTCCCCTACCTGCTGCTGCCCGCTGGGGTGCCGTCGCCGGGCCCCCAATCCAGGCTGTGCCAGCGGGAGGGCGCTGCCACACGGGTATTGCAGACCCTTCCTGGCAGTGCCCGATCCAGCCCTGGGCCTGGCAGGCGGAGTGGCACGTGACCAGCAGCTGGCTGGGCTCTGTGCCCCGCATGGCGGGGTGCTGCCCATCTCCCTCTCCCCCCAGGTCCTGTGGAGCGGGCGCTCGCAACTGGAGGTCAGCGTGCCCGGCACCTACAAGGGGCACACGTGCGGCCTGTGCGGCGACTTCAACGGCCACCCGCAGGACGACGCCCGCCTGCGCTCGGGGCAGCTGGCCCGCGCCGAGGCCGCCTTCGGCAACAGCTGGAGGGTGAGTGGGGCCAGGCAGGGCCGCCCCAGGAGCAGAGAGACAGGTCCTGCGGCCGCCCACGGCCCGGCTTCCTTCCCCCCATAATCCCCCCGCAGCCCAGCTCTCTAACCCCCAATTACCCCCCCAACCCGGCTCCCTTCTCCCCATTGCCCCCCAGCCCTGCTCCCTTCCCCCCATAGCCCCCCGCCCCAGCGCGGCTCTCTTCCCCCCGCAACGTCCCCCCGGCCTGGTTCCTTCCCCCCATTGCCCCCCCCAGCCCGGCTCCCTTCCCCCCCCAACGCCGCCCCAGCCCTGCTCCCTTTCCCCCCATAACCCCCACCAGCCCGGCTCTCTAACCCCCCATTGCCCCCCCAGCCCGGCTCCCTTCCCCTCATCACCCCACAGCCCAGCTCCCTTCCCCCCATAACCCCCCCACGCCCAGCTCCCTTCCCCGCCATCGTCCCCCCCCGGCCCTGCTCCCTTCCCCCCATAACCTTCCCAGCCCCGCTTCCTAACCCCCCATTGCTCCCCTACCCCTGCTTGGATCCTTTCCCCCCATCACCCCCAGCCCGGCTCCCTTCCCCCTATCGCCCCCCCGGCCTCGATCCCTTCCCCCCATAACATCCCCAGCCCAGCTCCCTTCCCCCCCATCGCCCCCCCAGCCCTGC